TCAGTTTTGGAGTCAGTTTTTTTAAATTAATTTTATAACTGACTTTTTTATTAATAATATTATAAATTAATATAAGTTTCTGCTTTGAAAAACTACTTATACTGATCTCATTATTGCGACATGATAGTAGAGATGCTGACTCGGCGGGTGTTATATATAGGTATATTTTGTATTTAATAAAATAAAATTAAATATTAAAAATTCAAACTGTGATAAAACAGTTTTACGATGCTTTAATTTTAGACAACTTATTTTGATTCCTGACAAAACTCGTTCGCTTTATCAGGAGTTCTCCGGGTATATTATAACACGTCGGAATTATTAATATTCGTATCTTTTACGACGATATGCGAGATTTGTTTTATTCAAAATTTGGCAGTATCACAGTACAAACTTTGTGTAGAAAAATAATTTGCACAACTTTGAAATACAAAAATACAGTTGCAAAAGTCCTTCCAGCTGACATACTAGTTTTTGTTTAGATTCCACATTCTTTTAATTCTGTAACTAGAGTCTTCTTAAGAACTGCTTCTCAATTTTTTTTGATAATGTTAGGTCTTAAAAAAATTATAATCCGTTGCACAACATACTTTAAATGAAATTGCGATTTATAATAATTTGATCCAACCTCGTATTTTTGGTTAGATTATTTTGATGAAAAAATATTTTAGTAATTGTAACTTATTTGTTTCTGTTGCCAATACATGTGATATTTTAAATTTGCACAAGATGAGTTATTTCCTAATTTAAAAGTATTAACTCGATAATTTCGCTTATTTATATTAGTAGCAACATTTACATTAGTACAATCTTTTTACTGAATTGAAGTAGTAGAATATCAAAAATAATGTTTTGATTATTAATAGATACGTTTTAAGTAAATAGATGGTTTGTTACATCCAGAGAGCAGTGATTTATTAGTAACTAAATTAAAAAAGTTTTATTTGTTAAGTTTTATTATGAGAAACTATTTAAAAATATTGCATGCCAAAACTAAGTAGTTACCTATTATTCTACTTATATATCAGTAGTATTTTTAGTTTCTTTAGAATGACTACTGATTTTCCAAAATATCAAAAGTATTAATTAAATGTTAATTAGCGTGGACTTTATACTGAAGTGTTAGATATATGATGAAATATATAAAATAATAAGGAGCCAAATTAAAAAAATAATTTAGAAATATATGGCAAAATTTGTATAGATATAGATTATACATTTCTACTGGCTCATAACAGGCAATAATTCTTCTATATGTTGGACTAATATGTTGAATTATTTTAGGTAATTGAGAATTGTATAGTATTTTATGTTATCTTTACTTTTTTGGTAATTTTTTATTATCAACAAATTTCTAATTGCAAAGTTTTCCCAGTCCATTGTTATGAAATTTAAACATTTTTAATATTTTAATTATTAAAGTCAAAACCATTCTGTTGTTTTATATCTTTAAAACTTCACAGTTTTCAATTATTAGTAGTTTTCACACTAATGACTCAATCTAAAAAAAAATGTAGGAAGTTTTTGACGCCTGATTTAAAAGAGTAAAATATAAATGGTATTCTATATTTCTAATAAACAAAATCGCCACAAGATAATTTCGACAGACATTGTGTAAGGGCAAATGTGTAATCAAAAAAAAAAATATATTAAGGTTTAATCTAACTATAGCTAGTGACCCAACTGGAACCCACCTGTACTTATTGTGATACCTTTTATTTCTAGATATAGAATGAATGTTATTTATTAAACATAAATTTAAAGAAAGTTACTTATTTTTGTAAAATTTTGTACATTATTCTGACTTTTTGTCTTTTCTAGTGATTGCTGCATTTATAAATTTAATAGGATATTTTTGAGGGTTATAAAAAAAATTAATATTTTGAAAAATGTTTATGTGAAATAAATATAATTTCGTGTTTATTATTTTATTATTTTCCCGAAACTAAAAAAATCCCTTTAAACTTTTGTAATAGAAAAAAAATAAAATATTAATTTATAATTGATTTGCTGATTATTTTGGCATAATTTTAGTTTTGATATATATTTATATTAGAACGTTTGGACATGTAAAATTCTCAGTAAAAATATACCACATATTCCTTGGACTAAAATTGGCCGATTTAAATAAACTTACCTCGGTACAAAGTTGATTTGTTCAATAATTGCACTTTCAACATTTCTACGCCAATGGAAAAAAGGGTTTTGAGTATAAAATTTGGATTACGTAACTCATTTGCTACAAAAAGGTACTGCGTACGTAACTTATTTGCTACAAAAAAAAGGTACCCTTGATAAAAACTCGGATTACTCTCATGGTTTTGGCGATATTTGTACCTATTTTAATAATTTAGAGTACGTTTCACACAAAAATGTTTACCTGATTAAACATGAGACTACTAAATGCGTTAAGCCATTCCGTTGAGCAATTCAAATTTCATACTGGCCCGACAAGCAATGAATTGCCGGGATATTGCTGGCCTTTTACTGTAATTGAGGGAAAAATACGACAATTAAACGATAAAAGCCTACTTTCGATAGTGGCCCAGCATTATGTTGGTTGATGATTACCTTATTAAGGGTAAGTACACTGTATGTTTACTTGCTATACGTACTCAACGAGTGGACATATGTGACCAATCTTGGATTTCTGATATTCAATATTCATTCTAATTTCTTGTTTTCACATTAATTTAGAATATTTTATGAATAATATTTTTGTAGAAGACATTTTATCTCTGTTATTATATTATATCTGAATTAAATAAAATGTGTGCAATATTCTATATCGGAATAGTTTCTCTTTTTGTATAGATTTTATAGTTCAAACAGTATATACTAGTCAGAGTCACTATCCAATCGCCTGTCTGGTCATGTGCCTAGTACATGACCTTTATTCACCAGTCAATATTAATATGGTAAAATGCCTGCAATTTCCCATTAACTTCTTATCAATAGGTCATTATATAAATGCCAATATATTTATTTCTAGGCATTAAAGGAAAATGGAGGCCTATTAACCGGATTTGATAGCTAAGGGATTTCGACCCGACCGTCGGCCGTAGTGACCTGTATATGCCGGCCTTTTAATTATAAAAGTTAAATGGTCAAACAATTGATTTTTTTAAGAATGTGATTTTTTCATATACCGTTGTAAAGAGGCTTCCAGGACCTTACAAATGAAGTATCACTCAACCCCTCTTCCCTATTCAATTTTAGGGGTTGAAGCGCCCCCTTATATAGGGGGTTGCTCGTTCAATCCTCAAATATACGTCAAAAGATGTCCCCCAAAGAAAATAATTCGACGTGTTTCGGGAAATTTTTACAATTACTATGGGATAGAAATATACGGGGTGGCTCGTCTGAGATGGAACACCCTGTATATAGTGAGAATAGGTATATTTCTTGGTAGGTATTACCACCGGTATGAAGTTAGCAGTAAGTTTTAACAGTAAAAATAACCGACAACACCCAATCGGGAAAATAGTGGCGTCCGACATACAACTATTTTAATAATCTTGTCAATATGTATTTTACATTAATATCGGACAAATAATTAATATACATATCGTTGAAAATGTCCGATTTTGAGATTATATCTAAATTTCTCAAAAATATATATTGGGTGGAAGATGGCAATAATTCGTGAAATGCAATACTGGTGCCATCTAGCAACAGATAGTCACACTATCGAGTTGCACATATTACTTGTAGATGCCGAAACTTGATTTTAAATTAACGCACTTATCTCTCACGCTCATGGAGATTATTACGGGTTATTACCCCAGTATATTTATTACTCACGTTCAGGGCCTCGCAACGAAATCGAGACAGGCGTAACAAAAAAGTTACAAAAAATGGGCCGGGTCCGAGCTGGTGCCGCTACAAATATCCGCTAAGCTAGCGGATCCGCGCTTTTCTCAGGTTCAGTACAAGCTACAAAGGGGAGACTAGCGTAACAAAAAAGCTACAAAATAATTACGAAAAACCAGCTGGGTCTGAATATGTGCCGCTACTATGGAAATTCAAGCTAGCGGATCCGCTGTTTTTTTGGACCTGGGCCATAGATTACTAATGTGAACTGGGCTAAGCTACAAATTCGCAAATAGCGTAACAAAAAAGCTACAAAAACCCACCAGGTCTTGTGTGGTGCCGCCACAGAGTGCCCGTTAGCTTGATATATAGCCGCTCGACACACCTTTTACTCGAAAAGAACTGCTTGAATTCTCTATTTTACGGAGTGATTAATGATTCGATCAGATTAATGCAGTTTTAAAAGAGTTTGTTGTCGAGTAATTTGATATTTATTTCTTTATGTGGTGTCCAATAATGTGGAGTGAGGACCAAAGGGCTGTCAGAATCGGTACTTTTGTACCAATTTAGCACTTCTTCAATATTTTCGAGTAAATTGACGTATTTCAGGCATGGTGAACGACAGATTTATTTCACATGTCACATGTAGGGATGTTGCGATACTACTGATATGATACTGGTATCGATACTTTTCTTTCGATACCGGGTAATTTAGTATCCGATACTTTGCTTTCGATACTTTACTCATATGAGTACTACTTTTGTTTCGATACTACTACTTTCGTTTCAATAATTTTACTACAAAATGTATATTATTGTAGGATCACTTTATGGTATGATATGTCGGCGTGTACCCTATGACTTTTTTTTTTTTTTTTTGGTTGTTCTGTACTCTTTCCGATATAGGTATCGATACTTTTGTTCCGATACCCTTTCGATACCGGTATCGATACTTTGGTTCCGATACTCCTTTCGATACCAGTATCGATACTTTACTGGTATCGCAACATCCCTATTCACATGACGAGTTAGTCGAGTTGTGGTCATGTGGTCGAGTCACATGATCACATATTGCACTTTTTGTTCCTTCAAGTAAACGAACGCTGCAAGGATTGTACGGAGTTAAAAGTGTTAAGAAAGAGGTGGTATTGCCGAACGCGCCTATGAAAGAAAGCTCTTGTCAACGTCAACTGTCATAGAAATAGGCGCCATTGAAAAATGAGTGTTTGTTGATCGTTGTTTACTAATTTAGCTTTTTAGTAAGAATTTTCTAGATAACTAACAAACTCAACATATTTGATTAATTTCGTGACGTTTTGCTCTCAAGTTGCGTATTATATTTTTATGCAGTAGATTTCCAAGAAAATTTAATTAATTTACAAGCATGAAAAGACCAAACTTCAAAGTGGGTGATAAAGTCTTCGCTAAAGTTAAGGGTTACCCCCCATGGCCGGCTCACGTTAGTATCTAATAATATATTTAAATTTATATATTATCCTGAGCTTTTTTAGATTGTCGCGGAGAATGGTAAAAAATTCAATGTGGAATTTTATGGCACTGGAGAAACGTAAGTACTTTATGGTTTGTGACAGTATTTTCATCTGCTTCCGTTAAATTATGTAGCAACATCAGGGCCTATTTAATATTGGAAGTCTGATGTATAGCTTCAAATAATAAATTTAAAAAGCCCTTATATAAAGAGAACTTAGCCGACAAACTTTTTTAGAGTTTAAAAAGTATGTGCGATAAATTCTTACAATTGATAAAATGCTGCTTAGAAATCAAGGTTTTAAGTTACAACACAGTTTTGAGAAAATTGCGCTTAGATGATGCTTTTATCAGTTTTGAATAAGTATTGCACTAAGATGGTTAGGTACATTGAACCTTGCAATTCCAAGATATCAAAAAGTGTATTAACAATAGCTCTATTTGAAGTTAGGGTGTTTTTATGTACTAACATAGCATATCCATATATTGAGAGCGATATAACGACCATCAGTACTACCATCCAAGCTCTACAGGAAGAACATATAAAATATTTAGGTAACTTTAATTGGCAATTTTGTACTTTAGAGGGATTTTAAAGCTGATGTGAACACCACTCTGCACTGATAGCCACACTTTTTCACATTTCCACTCTGGTTTTAATTGCTGTTTGTTATTGTAAACTGATATCGTTCATTGTGTGGTTGTTTATTTTCTTATTTGGTGAAATAAAAATTGTGTGCTAAAGGTTCACCAGCACCCATTTTTGTTGTACCTCACAATGAAATTTTAGACAATGTTGTGATTCAAAAATGGTGGTGGTATAATATACCTAATATGAAATTTTAACCACTTCTGTTTTTTTATTGTAAATTTAATAATCTTCACATTATTTTATATTATATATAATTCGTTTATTTAGTCAAAAAAAAAACTATTTTTTACATGTCACATATTCACATTTAAAATGCAATAAAAAATACATAAGATACAGTACACTTACATGTCAACTATATAAAACATAAAAGAACAAGAAAAAAAAATGTCAATTTCGCATCACATCAGTTTGAAACTGTATATCAGTATCTCTATTACTTATAGGGAATATTTCTACAGTTTCAAGTTCATTAGGGACTACTTTCAAATTGAAATAATAATAAAATCTGTAAAATTGTCATACTTTAAAATATCTTCTGGTACAATTTTTATAGACTTTTCTGATCATCTTTGACAACAGCAATCTCAAATCCGTTTATAGTGAGGTACTTTTTTATTTTGTCATAATCCATTTTTTTTTTTAATGGAACTCCATTAGAACTACTTTTATTCATTGCTTAAATCGTGCTTTCGTACTTCTACTAAAGGATACCATTTTAAATTAAAATAACATAATAAACAGAATTTGTTTTAATCTGATATAATTAAGTTTTGTATATGTAAGATCTCTTCTGATGGCTCATGGCTTGTATCCATTTTTTGCATCTTTTTTAGCCTCTTTTATGTTTATTCTTTGCATAAAATACAAACAAAAGTCCCCTAAATCAAAATGTAGACTATAAAGACTATAATCTTGATGACCTAGAAATAAAATATATATCAATAGAAGACATACAGAAGGCATTTAAATTCATTAAAAGCAAAAAAGTTCAGTAGGAATAGATGGTTTGCCTAGTTACTTCTTCGAAGCTTACTCAGTACTGTTAGTAATTCCTTTACAAATAATATTGAATAAATCACTAGCTACAAATGATATTCCAAATCAGTTCAAAATAGGTGGAATAATAGCCATACATAAATCGGGAAACAAGTTTGTTTAAAAATTATAGTCCAATAACCATATTACCAACACCATGTAAAATATTTGAAAAAGTTGTTTACAAATATTGTAAAGATATAACTTAAAATTGAATGAACCCAAAATAAATTTTATTAAAATTAATTTAAGCTTGACTGGTCAGTTGGTTTTAAAACAAAAAAAATCAATAGTTACCAATCTTTGTATTTTTACTGATTATGTGGCTTCTCAAATTATTGATCATTGTCAAATTGACATGATATACACAGATATACCAAAGGCATTTGTTAAGGTTTCAGTGAAAATTTAATAAATTTTGTCAAATATCTAACTAATCCTAATAATATAACAATGTGGTGTCAAACAAATTTATAAATATTTCAGGAGTACCCTAGATATCCATTCTACCACCTCTACTTTTCATCCTGTTTATAATCATCAAATTTTTTTCTTTTTGCAGATGACAAAACTATTTTTAAAAATTTGCACCTCTAACGATGTAGATGTACTTTAGTCTGATATTAATAACATGTAAATATTGTAAACTCAATGATTTGTCCTTAAATAAATCCAAGTGTAAAGTTATAACATATACTAGAAAAATATACAGGGTGAATCGGGAGGAGCGCACCAAACTCTAGGAGTATATTATACGTCTGAAAATAATGTAAAAAAACTCATATGTTCTTATCCGATTTTCATTTGTTTTCAAGTTATGGCGTAATTAAAAATGTTCATCTAGCTTTCCACTTCTGAATTTTAACATTATCAAAGTATGCCATATGTTCAAGGCTCAAAGGCATTTGATAATTCTGACATTTTGATGAACTGTCAGTGTACAGTGAACAGTAACTGAACGTTTAATTTCGAATTTATGTGATTGTTAGTGTTGCAAAATGCCAGATACTTATTCAAATTTAGAATAAGAGAATTTTTATGTGTAAATTTGTTTATTTGTTAATATGCTATAACTCCTAGAGTTTGGTGCGCTCCTCCCCACTCACCCTGTATACAATTAAGAGGTAATTATAAAATTAACAGAGAAGAACTCCAAGCATTAAATATCATTAAAGATTTAGGTGTTGTGTTCAATAAAAAACTCCTTTTCATTGATAACTATAAACATCTAACATCAGAGTGTTATAGAACACGACTTTACTTCTCAAACAACTATCTTACTTTTTAATTCTTATGTCAGATCAAAACTTGAATAGTGCAGTCCAGTATGAATAAAAGAATAATAAATCATTACATAGCAAGACCTCCAAATACGTTTTTTAGGTCTTTAAAATGGCGTGATTCCGCGGATAACCCTTACTTTATCAAAATGACAAAAACTAATATTTAGCACGAAAATCCAGGTATAATTTTTAATATGAATGACTCCATACATTATTATAATTCAAAAAAATATTAAATCATTACATAGCAAGACCTGTAAATACGTTTTTCATGTCTTTTAAAAAGCGCGGTTCCGCGGATAAACCTTACTTTATCAAAATGACATTTGATATTTTGGTAGAATGTTTTTCCGCGAAACAGCGCATTTTTAAAGACCTAAAAAATGTAATTAGAGGTCTTGCTATTTGATAATTTAATATTTTTTTATTGATACTTGTTTATTGAATCTTTGGTATAAAAATTGTATTTGGAATGTTTGTTTTTGTTGGTGTTATTGAGTAATATTTATCCGCGAAACGCTTGACTTTAAAGATCTAAACACTATATTTACATGTCTTGCTCTTTAATGATTTTTTATTTATTTTATAGCTAGTGATGTACTAAATTATTGGTATAAAAATTGTATGTGTAATCTCGTGCTAAATGCGTTTTTTTTTTCTCTTTGTTCTCATAGTCGATTGACGACAAAACACATGACTCTAAAAAGACCAAACAAATATATTTTAAATCATTGCTCAACCATAATTTTTTGTTTAATCAATTAACAAAAACCTAATGAATATTTGGTATAAAAATTATATTTATAATCGCATTGTAAATGTGTTTGTTTCGTCCCCGTCTTTGTGTAAGATTATCTTATTTTAACTAATAATTCAAATTGAATTAATCCATTTTTTTTTTTTTCAATAAATACACTCATTTTTATTTATTTCTAAACTTTCATGATACTAAAGTCCACCTAAACCAAAGATTTTGCCGAATAACAATATCAAAACATTATGGGACCGCCGCGCGGTTTGTCTACTAGCTTCAGCTTCATTGTTTATTCAATGTTTATTTCCTACCAAAATTAGCCTGTGGGTAATTTTTCTAACTTATGATTATAGAAGAAAATTCTTCCAATAAGATTTGTTTGGGATTGTCATTGTTTATAATTTTTGTCATATACGATATTTCTCTAAAATAAACTAATACATTTTTTCAGTAGTTTCGTTGTCAATAAAGATGCGAAAAAGTTTTGAATATTTTTCATTTTCTAAATTCTTTTTGATTAGATAGGATGTACTCAATATTTTTGATAAGTTTACAGGAAATTTATATGTTGGACAAATCATATTTTTTTGTTGTTGCAAATACAGGACAAACGACAACCATTACTTATAAACTATAACAAAATAAACAATAATGGGAAATGTGTTTGTGTGTTTTATTGAGGTAGAATACCTACATTTACAGGTTATCACTTTGCTTTTTGTTTGGCAGCTTCTCGGATAACTCAATTTGCTTTTCCCCAGATTTCACTTTGTAGGTCAGTTTTTCATTTTTTATAAGTGATTTATTTAGCTTGTTATTTATCAAACCTTGTTTCTTATTTCTAAAAAACATGATTACTATTTATTACATCTCAAAATTGACCTTGCACAGTTGGACTTAAGTGTGTTAAATATAAAATAAATATAATAAATAACTTAATATATTATATTTAAATTATTACAGGGGATCCATTAAAAGTGAAGATCTATTCTACTATTTAAAAAATAAAGAGAAATTTCAAAAACCTCTGAAACGTAAAGATTACATTGATGCTTTTGAACAAATTGAAGAGGCTGTCAAAGAAGATGGAGGTGATGGAGATGAATCACCAAACAGCAATGACTCTATCTCAAATGTAAGTAAACCGATATTCTGTTATTGATAATATTACAGCAAACCCAAGTTCGTATTTTAAAAGTATTTTACTCATACAAAGATAAGTAAGAAATTTGGGTTCAGTCTATATAATTTTTTTAAGGAATCATTAAACTCTTCATCTGCTAATAATAGTATAGCAGAGAAGACTGAAAAGAAAACTGGAATTAAAAGAAAAAGATCTCTACCTCAGGAACCACCTGCTGAAACCAGTACCCCGAAAAAGAAATCAGCACGACTGAGTAAAGTTAGTGAAGGTAGAATTAAAATTTATTCATTGTTGATTAAAGAATGTTAATGTGGCTATTCTAATTGTTTGGCCATTTTGTTTTTGCTCATTATTGAATATATTGTTTTTTTTTTGTAGATGTTCAAAAATCTGAAATCTCTGAAACAACTGATGAACCAGAAAAAGTACATAAATCTGTGTCCCCTAAAAAATCTCCTAAAATAACAAAATCGCCGAAAGTTGACATAGAGAAGGAAAAAGTGGCAGAGGTTAAGGAAGAGACAAAACCTGAAGAAAATGATGAGTAAATATTTTTTATACATATTATTTTTTAAATTGTGTTGGTTGAAATGTTGCTTGATGTGGACAATTTGAGCCCTTGATTAAATATGTTGTTTGTTTGAAATTAGAAATGCTGAAATAGCGAATCGAGAAATGAGAGAAAAATGTGAGAACTAAAATAATATGAATATTGCAAAAGCGGTTAAACTCACTCTTGTAATCAAACATGATTACTATGATTTTTCTGCTGTTGTGATAAAAAATTACAGCCAATATTGTTTCTAAACAAATATATTTTTACCAAATTTAATTTACATGATTATATTAGTTTCCCTCACCCACAGTATCTGTCGAGCTTTTAAAAATATATATTGAACTTTATTGTCGAAGAAGTACATCTGGCTTTTTAAATTATAGAAATAAACCTAAAGATGATAAAATCGCAGAAAAAGAAAGTGTTAAAGATGAAACAACTGAAATTGAAGAAACATCAGAAGTAATGGAAAAAGAGGAAGTGGAAGAAACACCAGTCGAAAAGCAATATAAAATAGACTTAGTGACAGAAAAGAGCCTTAAAAATAATATAATTTACGTAAGTCTCAAAGTTGTTACGTTTTTACGCCATTATTCTTATTTAAAATTCATGTTTCAGGCTGAACATGTTAAAAAATCTGAGAAGCTTTTCAAGGGTAAGTTATTTTTTTAAAGAAGAACCAATTGAAAATTCGTTATTATAAAAAATAGAATAACATTATTTCTTTTTGATTTAATAAAAAAGATGGATGCCTAAAATGCCAACGATTATTAACATTTAATGAAAATTACAAATTATTAAGAAATACAAAATCTCAAATTTAAAAGATAATACAGAACATTTTTTAAAGGCATGTACATATTAAAAAGGGTAGTAGTGTAAAAATGGGAAATAGATGATTGGATGGTGGGGATGACTAGTTAGGTCCTTGGAAATTCAATTAAGGTGGATTTCAGAAGAATTTTGGCACTATTACCTTTTTGGCATATCTATATGATGACACTTTGAACAACAATGATAAGGAAAAGCAGATTTACCATGTTAGTTTTCAGCAAAGCATTCGATACGATAAATCACAAACTTTCTCTGCTAAAATAAATGTCCTTACTATGGTTTTGATGCAACATCACAAGACTTCATAAAATCGTTCCCAAGAATTCATTGTTAATAGTCAAATGTCCACTTCAACTTCAATCCGGCATATCACAGGGTCAGGCTTGGGACCATTTATACTTTATATATCAAACGTATTCATCATATTAACTGTGCCGTTCAATTTTTTGCTGACGACACATTAATTGTTTTCATATTGTCATACTACTGGTTCACAAAATATTTGACATTGAATTTTTTTTCTTTAAAAGTGGTACAAAATGCAAATAGTACCTATAGTGACAGTAATATATTTTGTTGGTTTAAGATATGAAGAAGGAAAGAAAAATTGTATATAATAGTTTATTTTAAATGATATGCTTTTGATGACGTTATTAGCATGTTCTTTAAATTGTAAATTTGTATCAACCATAGCCCCTAGATATTTAAATTTTTCAACTCTCTGAAACTTTATTCCATCAACAGGAACACTGTGATGCTACATTTAATTTTTTTAAATTTGCAGTACCCCAAATTAACATCTACTTTGTCTTTTCGTAATTTATTTTTAACGAGTTTCCGTTACAATTATCATATATTTTACTTATAGAACAATTAATTTATTTAAAACAAGTTTCAGTGTTTTCATGGGTAAAATATATCAGTGTATCATCTGCAAATAAGTGTATCGGGCATCTTACGACTAGGCCAGCAATGTCATTAATATAAATTAAAAACAGTAGCGGACCTAGAACACTACCCTGTGGCACCCCCATATTATTCTCTATAGTATCTGAAACACAATTATTTACCTTAACCTTCTGTTTCCTATTTTCCATATAATATCCCAATCAGTCCAGTACACAACCCCCAAACCAATAGCTCTTAATTTCATTAATTCTCTACCCCTATTAATAGTCTCAAATGCCCTCTGTAAATCCAAAAACACCGCCAGTGTAAACAAATTATCTTCAATTGATAACTTCCAGTCATGCAACACCAACTGTAAAGCAGTTTCACAGTTGTGTTTACTACGGAATCCTGATTGCACATTACTTATCAAACTGTTCCCCTCTAAATAATCAATAATTTGAAGATATATTACTTTTTCTATTAGTTTTCCAACAGCACTGATCAAATTTATCAGTCTTAAATGGGTAGCCTTGGATTCGAAATTTTTGGTATCGGAATTATTGCAGCAACCTTAATATCATCCGTAACTAAGCTTGTTTCAATGGAAAAATTTATAATATGTAATAAAGGTTGGGATAAACTCTCAAAACATTATTTTATTAAAATTGTGGATATTTCGTCTGGACTATTTTTATTTGACATTGAAAATAATATTTCTTTTAATTAGTTTAAAATTTACAAAAGTTTCTATTTCACTTAGATGAGTTATAATCGGATAATTATTAATAGAAGGTAACTGCTCAGATATTTGTTCAATACTCTTTACATGGTAATAATTTGAAGCATTTGGAAAAGTAAAATCCTGACGATTGTCACAAATATTGTCAATTAAATATTAGTATTAGTAAAACTGCTTGTGATATTAGCTGTTGGAATGAAAGATTTCATAGTTTTCCACATCTCAGTAGAGTTACTCTTGTTTAAATCTATTTTAGTTTCCAAGTATTTGCTTTTTCATGTTTAATTACATTAACTGCTTTATTCCTATTAAATTAATATATTGGCCAGTTTTCCTCTGATTTGTTAGTAATAAATTGTTTTATAACTTTTTCCTCTCACACTAGTAGCAGCTCTAACCTGATCATTCCACCAGTTCTGATAATATGGTAAAATTTTAACTTGTTTTATTGGTGCCACTTCATTGACAACTTGCAAAATTTTATTTAAAAAATCTGTATTTTTCATTAATATCATGTAACCAATAATTCCATTTTATATCTTTTAGATTATTATTAATTGTATAATCAATAAACCTACCTCTACTTTCAATAACTATTGTTTCCCTTCTCTGTTTTATTTTGTTTGTTTAGTTTTGCAATAATATTTCTGTGACTACTGATTTTTGGTGTGTCTATTACTTCAGTTGTAATGTCTGAGTTTGTAATAATTAAATCAATTAATGATCCTCCATGAGTATTTGCATGTGTAAATTCTTTTACCACATTCTTAAAACCTGTATCAGTAACAATAATTTTTAATCTTTTTGAATAAGTTGAAGTACTATACCAATCAATATTGAAATCCCCAACCAAAATAACTTCTAAGTTAGCATCAGTTAAATTCAGCTCACACCATTCTTCGAAAAAGGCTAGAAACAAATTTATTCCAGATTTCTGAAGTTAAATGCGTTTCTGACAGGCAAATTATCAGTGGATTTTTAGTTATAATAAAAATTTTAATTTCTTCAAAATGTGCAGTTAAACTTTGACAATTCATATACAACAAAAAAGTATCTAATCTATGATTATTTGTCCCATTTGATTTTCTCCTAAAAAAAGACTTGTCATATTTAATTCATTATTATTAATAATAATATTATTATATATATTTCCTCAGTGGTTACTGGAATTATCACTCATCCCGGGTACTGCTACCAAAGGGGGAGAGCCTAATACTTACTTGTTTAGAAATTTATGTACGGTGTGACACGTATTGAAAATTAGCGCTCGTTGGTCTCTCAATAACACTGCAAAACAGAACAGCAGTAGTTTTTGAAGGATTGTGTTCTTTTGAATATTGTAATAGAAACTGCAAATCCCTATTGAATCAGATTGTTAGCTTTGTGTATATCTTGGGGTTCGAAATAATTTAATAACTGGGTGTCATCAGCGTAAAGTTGAACTTAACTATCCTTAAGTACTTTTGGTAAGTCAGAGGTATGTACTAAGAATGATAAAGGACCCATGATGGATCCCTGGGGGACGCCTGAAATAATGATTTTTGATTCCGAGAAGTTATTATCAATCACTACCTTCTGAGTACGATTCCACAAATACGATTTGAAAAAAAAATAAAATAATATCACTACATCCATAGTATTGAAGTTTTGCGCACAAAAGTTCTTGATCAATTAAATCGAAAGCTTTAGAATGATCCAAGGCAATTAGAACAACAAGTCTTTGATCAATTGCAAGAATAACATTTTCACAGAGCTTTAGTAACGAAGTAGTGGTACTGTGCTGTTTGTGGAGAAGCCAGATTGTTGTACAGGTAGGATTTTATGAGTAGTTAAATATTCAAATAACTGGTTATACACAACTCGTTCAAGAATCTTGGAAATAGCAATGTGTTATGTGATCTAAGATAGTAGGTAAGCACAGTTTAGGCATGTACAAAGGTATACCATCACTTCCGAAAGCATTAGAGTTGATTGAATGTATTGCGTCTCGGCATTATTTTGATTAACTATAGTAAAATTAAAAGTATTGTTCAGGTATTTATTATTAGCATAATAATGAATCTTGTTAAGACAATGATAGATACTTAAATTTACGATTTATAATAAACAGCAGGTTTATTACATCTCTAGATTTAGTGAATAGCGTCGAGTACGCGACGCACTCTGGGGCAACAAGCCATCAAAGTTGGCAATAAATCTCAGGCTCTCTTTATGAATTTATAAGTTAAATATTACTTTGTAGAGGTGTTAGTATTACAAATGAAAATACATAGAGGGCTTATAAAGTGTTTGTTTGCTTAAAAAAAAAAAGTTATTAAGAATATAATATAATAAAAATGTATATTCTATTAAGCCCTCTATGTATTTGCTTTTGTAATACTAACATATAATATAATAAAAATGTCATGGGCCTAATGAGACCTAAGTACCGTGGGGGTAATCCACCCTCCACACGTTAAAGATACAGATAATACAAATGTAATATAATAATTTCATTTAGAAAAGCTATGATAATTGTAATCAAATTTCATCCTCTTTAGAATGTGATAAGAATATACAGTGTCATAAATATACCATGGCTATGAAGCTGGACGAGTCCAGATTTAAAAAAATCTACTGCCTTTTTAGGAAAGTGCTGCAGGTTTTCTTTTTTAATTTTCGTTTGCTCGTGATTACAAGGTCGAAACTAAGTAAAAACGAATTAAAGACGTCCTCATTAGTTTTCTCTGTTAATTGGTCTATAGGCAACAAAGCAGAAGATATTATTTCATGCCCATGTATAAAGTATTTGTGCAATGTCGGAGGCATATTGACCGTGGGTACTTTTCAAAAAAGTATCTAGCGGTGTTGTGAGCAAATTCTATTAATTTCATTCTTTCCAGAACTTCTTATGATATTAAGAAGTTTCTTTCTCGATAAAAACATAGTGTTCAACCTCGTTCCTGAAATAAAATTAAATTGTTATGTGCGAAACACTGTTATGTTTTATTTTTACCGGGTGGGCTATAAAAAACTGTATTTTGTTTTTATTTTCATTTTTTAAATAATAAACCATTTTTACTATGCTCTCAGATCTACCAAAAATAAACTAGCTCTAAATCGACTCATATTTCAATTAGGTTTGCCATCCTGGAATTTAAAATTTCCGCCATTTTAATTTAATGGTCGGAAAGTATATTTACATACCTACCAAATCAGACCCATTGAGTCCAAATCGGTCAAAAACTAAAATAGCAGCGTTGCAAAGCATAATGATGTGTTATTATAAGCTTCTATGAAAACATAAAAACCAGACTACTTTGATTTTCTATATCTTACGATTGAATGGACCAATCGTGCTCGGAGAGGTCTTAAAATAAAGAAAATAGGTTATATATTTAACTTTTTCATTAGATTTTATATTTAATTTATAATTATTACGCAAAACGAGCTTAAAATGGGTTACTTTTAGGCTCGTTTTTTTTTTCTTCAATTAGGTCGGCCATCTTAAATTTTACATTTCTGGCATTTTGTTATGTCTGTCTGGAAGCATATTTAGTTGCCTATAAAATGAGCCTAAGGACAATAAAATTGATTTATTAATAAACGAAATATATTAAAAAAGACAGAATTCGTTTTTGACGATCGTCCCGCCACATATTTATATACTTTGAAAAAACCCAAATAGTGAAGAAAAGTGCAAATAAGTGCACAGAAACTAAACGATTTCCAGTCGAAATTTAAAGCTTGGACTGCTTTGGAACATAACAAATACCCTTCATGTATTTAAGACTATTTTAAAATTTTAACGTTTAACCTTCATTTTACTCAACCCCAATATTATAAGATTACGTTTATTTTTCTACAACTTTTTACTTATGTAAATAATACATAGCTGAACTTAAAGGCTTGATGGCGGAAATTTGAAAATAAAAAATCAAAATACAGCCTAAACACAGCACAAAAACAAGTTAAAAACTACGAAATAACAATGAATATATACTCGCCTCAGATAAGTAACTTCGACTGAGGGTGGTGATGAAACACGTGAGACAGAAGATCGCACTTGTTCGTTTTATTATGTAGTGGACAGTAATATGTCAGAAAAAAATATGAGCTAGAGTGTATATGCTATTTAATTTTTTTATTTATTGCCAAATTTGAGGGCTTCTTGCCCCAGTGTGCGACGGAAGAAAAAATAAAGGTATGAATGGTCGGAGGTCAAAAAGAGTCTCGTGGCTTTTAGTTTGTTTGTCGAGTGTAAAGAAGCTTGTGTCCTTTTTTGATGTGATTGGTCGAAGAGACGACCTTAGACGTGATTTTTTTGATTGCCTCTTAGAATATAGCATGATATTTATTGCGTTTGTTTTATGCAGTAAAGAGATAGCGCTTGTTTTATAGAACACTTGTTTTTGTTTTTAACGACTTATTTTAACTATGCTCATAAAGTTACCTGTTAGAGTTGGAACTTAAAACTAAATTATTGAAAATTTTTCATGAGGGAGATAGATACAATCTATGCAATATGTTTTTCTAGGAACTCGAAAACCGTTGAAATTGTATTCTTGTATTCAGGACTAGCTTTAATATTGTGAGATTTTTTAAATTATGGTATAAATTAAAAATTTAATATTAAAATATTTTGTTGTTATTATGTTTACTATATATTATACGGGGTGGATCTAAGAGACTAACAAGTATCTGTGAAGAAATGCTTGTCATTTTTGAACAGATATTTCTACTATCTTTTACGGATCTATTGCAGTTGTAATTCCAGTTTTTGGATTTTCGGAAAAATACGCCACTGTAATTATGTAAATGTAGTTAACTTGGTAAATCAAGACCTAAGTGACATCAATTAATCATAAACTACTCATAAATGTCAAGAAGTCTAAATTGTTAGTAAATAAAAAAGTATTTATTTTTTTTTACGCATTTTACTTCTCCACCACCAAAGAAGACAAAAAAGGTTTTATCGACAGGAAAGGTTATGGCAGACGTGTTTTGGGATTCACGTGGAATTGATTACTTAAAAAAAGGGAAATTAATAATTGCCTATGCTAATTTCTTGCAACAACTTAGTTACAAAATAAAAGTGAAACGGCCTCATTTGACATGTACTTTTCCATCAGGATAACGCACCTGCTCACAAGTCTGTGATTGCAATGTCCAACATTCATGAATTGAGATTTGAATTCATGCCTCACTCGCCCTGTTCCCCAGATTTGGCTGCCAGCAATTTTCATCTGTTTCAAAATCTGGAAAAAGCTCGTTGGTAAGAGATTTTCGTCTAATTCCGAGGTAATCACTGCTGTAAATAGCTATTTTCGAAAACTTGGAACGAGTAGGATGCTGTATTGAAAAATAAAATGTTTTTTGTCTAAAAAAACTTGGGTTTACTTCGTTAGGTCACATAGCTATCAAACAATCCTTGTATTTATCGATACAATCTAAGACTCCTTATGTCGGTTGGCAACATTAATGTAAGTAAGGTTAGAATTATGCCTTTATTAACAGGTATTAAAAAAAAATATTTATTTGTGCTTTCGAGGACAGTTCAAATATCAAACTGTGTCTTAATATGTACATGTGTTTCAAAATGACCCTGTATAAATATTTAAGATTCAGATTTAATGTTATTTATCTCATATAAATAAGCATTACTTTGATATCAATATAGTAAGACATTTAAACTAATTTTTAGACAGGAAACCCGACCCAAGAGAGGATGATGCAAATCAAGTTTTGCCAGTAAAATTATCATCTGGTAAAATGGGAGGAATAAAGCTTCATTTAACGTGGCCTCTAAAATTCGACAATGAATATGATCGCGCTATCTATGACGAAACTGTGTCTAAAAGGGTCTTGGATGCCAAACAGAAAATTGAAGAAGGCACAGTGTCATTAGAGGATATGGAAAATATTATTCCTGATATTGAACTGTCTGCAGAAGGAGTAGACCAGATGGTTGCCTTAAAACAGCTCGAGGATAAAAAAGTGAGAGTAGCGCGACTGAAGTTAGAAGCTGAATTATTGAGACTTGATGTGAAAATTAAAAATTGTTTAGGTTTGTTTGTTGTTAGTAAAATATGAATAGTATGCGCAATGAACTGTATTATATTTATGAAATATTGTTTCTACTCGCGATATTTCAGGTTTGGATAAAGCAGATCCAAAAGAGGCTTTGGGTTATTTGGAAGAAATGTGTAACCTTGAATTTGATGACGTTGTACTTAAAAAACATCTTCATATAGTTGAAATGGTCAGGAGGTTGCGTAAATATGTTGGAAACACTAGAGAGTGGAAAATGAACGATGAATCTTTGAATGAATTTACAAAGCAAGCAGAGAAAGTCAGGGAAATGGCCGAGAAAGTCTACGGAAAATTCAAGGTAGTCAATTTTTAATATATCAAATTTTCGATAATGTTAATACAGTTAAGAAAAGTGATACTTGTTATAACCACATGTTTAGAACGTTTATTAAAATTTATTAAACTTTGACAGGGCTTTAGAGTACGGTTTGTCTGAATAACATGAACGTCAGATGAGTCTGTCATAAATTTTAATAACCGTTTTTGCAAACCGCTGTGCTATTTTTAACCGACTTCAAAAAAGGAGGATGTTATCAATTCGTTGCGATATATTTTTTTTATGTATGTTTAGCGATAATTCTTTAACACGGTGTCCGATTTCAAAAATTCTTTTTTTGTTAGAAAGGGACTACTTCAGGGGTGGTCCCATACAAATTTGGTCAAAATCTAATAATTGGGTCCATGAGAAAATCCTCAAACTCTTCATTTTTTATGTATGTTTAGCGATAATGCTTTACCACCTTGTCCGATGTATATGATTCTTTTTTGTTTGTAAGGGGGTACCTCAGGGGTGGTCCCATATAAATTTTGTTAAGATGTGGAGATCGCATCTGCACGTTTTTTAAGTTGGTTTCTTTAAATTTCTAATACTCATTTCTGTCGATTAAAAAAAAATGTGAATCAAATAGTGATATGGGTCGCTTGGAAAAGTCCACGGACAAGTCCGATGGACCAGTCTGAAAAGTCGACTACTCCAAACGCACTTTTTAAAAGTGGAAAAGTGTATTTATTACGCATGCGCGTCATTAACATAACTAATTTGAATTTCTTACAAACAAAGGCAAACTATAGTTTCAAAAAGAAGACATGACAAATGATTACTGACTTTTATATGTTTTAACAATGTTTTCGAATTTGTTTTATATCTTATTAAAATGAAAAAATTACCAAAATAAACCAAAAGTTGGAAGTATTTTACAAATGATATGCCTAAAAAAACAAAAATACAAATATTGTTTCCATATTGTTTTTGAAAAAACATCCAGGATGGAGATTTAACTGTATCTTCTATGCCCAAGGTCGACTACTTTTCATTGCTTTTCACTTCTTTTGTGGACATGTCCATCGGACTAGTCCAAAATTTACTTTTCATGAAAAGTCCCATCACTAGAATTTAGAATCAAAATCCGAAAGGTCAGAATTATCTGAAATCAGTTGTAGAATAATTTTGAAAATTCGGAAATAAATATCAAAAATCCTTCTCTGAATACCTTTAGGTATTTGAAGATTTGAGATCTAGTGCATCAAATTGCTGCTAGGATTCTCGACAGTCAATGTATTCATGGTCTAGCGGTAAGGGCATTTGTGTACAAAACAAAATAAATATGTCTGGGTTCGAATCCCGCGTCGACAGGCTTTTTTTTTTTTTTTTTCATATCTTCCAAGTATTTGTTTTCACCTTTGGGATTCGGGGTTGGTCTTAATAATTTGTAGGGGGATTTTTGAAATTTGTTTCCGAATTTACAAAATAATTTTATAAAATATATTTTTCCTTTTTAGCAAGCTGTAAAATTGCCAGAAAATTGCTCAAGTTTCTTTGAAGGATTTACAGACTTGGTTAATCAATTCAGAGCCGACTGTAAAGAATTAGAACTGACTGAATCCGATATTTTTGTATTAAGTTCTGAACCCAGTAAGTGTTTGTTAAATAAACTTTAATAAAACTTTATAAATGTTATATTTTTTTGTAGGATCTCGCCAAGCTTTTCTGAATCGTCTAGATGAAAAGGAAACTGAAAAGGTAATATCACAAATTAATAATTGACTTATATAGTAAAGTACTTAACAATGTTATTAAAAGTATTTATTTAATACTGCAGGATGTTGTTTATACTGAAATTTGATAATAATAGGCAGAAGAAAAAATATTTCTGGAATGTTTAACAGAGTTGCTACATATTAAACAAAGAATTCCTTTCATTATACAAATTATGCAAATAAAATAATAAAAAAGTTTTGAAAAGTTGAAAAATAATGCTTAATTTTTTTTATAAATACTTAAACTCACAGCTCAGTCATTTGCTAGCAAAAGAACAGTTTACTTCAAGTTGTCACGTGTCTTAGAATTTATTCTTTCGCACCTTTGCCGTGCAGTAAAATAGGCATATTTGAGATGCCCTCCTTATAGAAAATACTTCTTCGCTAATATTTCATTTAAAGCGTCACAGTTGTTTTTGTTCAGCAGCGCTAGCAGGAAAGGGATAAAGGCAATTCCCGGTAAATTGTTTTATTTATTATTATCATAATTTTTCGAAATTTTGGTACAGCACGTGTTAGACGCAGCACGTGTTCTAAAAGTAGTTATTTTGTACATTCTAATGCATAAAATACTTATATCTTTATACATTTTAAAGTTATAACTACTTTTATTTATTTCCGTCTGTTACTGACACTGCACTGGCGAAGACGTGGTCTGCCAAACTTCATTGATCGGCCTCTATTCGAGAACATTTTCCAGTTTATACAGTAGATGAGGTGCCAAAATTTGGTGGGAAATTAACGAAAAAGCGTCTATCACGGGCTAAAAAACAGATTGTAGAAAATGAGTATCGAATATAAAAAGAGGAAAACTGGAACGGAAACAAATAATTTTAGATTGCAATAAACAGGCGATTCAGATTTTTTTTGTAATGAAATGTCCACTTATCAAAATCAGTGTCAAGTAACAGGGATACGGATTTGCCCAAAATATGGAGTCGAGCTTTTTAAGACGCACACTACTTCAAATGAATTTTCGCTATTGTAAGATAATCCAAAATAGTGCTCAATTGGGAAAAGGAAATCGTTGTTTGACAGAAAATATTTAAGGAAATTTGTATACGAGGATAGGATGAATAAATTTCAGTCTGAGAGAGAAAAAATCAAGCAATCCTTATCTTTTTAAAAATGAACTCCGGATAAAACTTATATACAAGTTAATAATAATAAAATAAAAAAATACGTGTGGCACTCGGTGACTGCCGCGGTAAAGCTATTGCATAGCATTTTTTTATCAACTTATGCAATTATAATTATTTATTTATATTATTTATGCAGTATTTTTTTTTCTTTAATATTAATTCAAGTTATACTTTTTGAGCGTGTTGACCGATAAGAAAACATTTTTTTTTTTTATTGAATAAATGAGAAGTTAATATTGTTTAAAATATTTTTATTATCTTACAATACATGTAGGTTATTCAGGAATTTTTATCATTGAAACTATAGGTTTATGGTAACTGAAGTAAGAAACATAAAATTGAGATTTGATATTCTCTAAATATCTAGAAAATACCGCGTCAATGGTGGTCCCATATTTTGTTGTGGATTCTTGTGGATCATTATTCATTTTCAAATTCAATTTTTCCGAAATTGTGTTTAAAAGAAATAGAATCAGTTATGAGCAGTTAGCAGCTAGTCTACACGACGTTAGACGATGCACGGCTTTCAACGCCGCACCGCTGTGCCGGTCGGAGTGGGGATGTTAGGTTTATTTTCGTTACGGAATTTCTTTTTCGATTTTACGATTTTTTGATTTTTCAATTTTTTTATTTTTCGATTTTTTTTTTATTGAATAAATGAGATATTAATATTGTTTAAAATATTTTTATTATCTTACAATACATGTCGTTCGGAGTGAGTGGGGGTGTTAGGTTTATTTTCGTTACGGAATTTCTTGATTCGGTCGCTGCGCTCAAAACCCGCGATGAAAGCTATGCAATAGCTTAAAAAAATTAATATCTAATATTTACGCCAGCCGGGAACATTTGTAATACCAATTTATTAGAAGCCAGAGAAAGCTCTTCTAGTTCTTGTATTGCATAAACGTTTCAGTCCGCAGACGTATATTTAACTCCGCTTCATACTAATACGAATAGGGTCGGATTCGGATAAAACCTTACACGGCATTCAACGCCGCACTGCTGTGCCGGTCGCATATACGTATACTGCAGACGCACAAGGTATAGCCAAACGATTCGGCTTTTTAAGATTTATCCGACCAATAAGAAAGGGTAGTAAAGTGCAGACGTAGTTTGTCTTTATACGTCTGCAGTTTTCTTCGGTGGGTCAACATATTAAGGACAGACGTGTTTATGCTAATACTGTTTATAAAATGTAAATTTAACGCTGTATACATTCATAACTCCTTTAATAACTAATAATACATATACAAATAAATGAAATACATATTAATGTTCGTGAAAATCCCTATTTCCTAAACTTATTATCACCTAGACCAATGTTACTCTTTACACATAGTTGCAAGCTGTGTGGTGCTTTTTTTGTTAGATTTTCCAGGTTTTCGTCCAGCTAACGATGCTCTTCTATCTGTCATTGTAACTTTACGTTTTGATATTGAAGTCGGTTGTACGGATATTTTTTTCCTTTTCTTATTTTTAGACGAAACTCCAGTGTATTTAAAAGCGCAATGCAAGCCTGATATCAAAGACTGATTTGATTTGGCATACTTGCTACAGTTGTCCAAGTATTTCATTATAGCGGGTCCGAAAGATTGAGGCTCACTTTCAAGCTTTGATATAATTAAATTCGAATGAGCTGTTCATTTATTTTTAATTGTTTCTATGTCAATATTCTCCTTTTCATCAAATTCCATGGCATCATGATTTGCATCATCATGAATCAACATTTGCTTATTCTGTTGGTTTTGTACAGAGGAATAATCATTACAGGAAGAGATGTTCTGTTTTGAGTTCTTTGTTGTAACTTCATCAATTTTCAATGTATCAAAAGTAGATAAATTTGCAATTTTTTCCAAAGCGATTTCATAAAAATGCCCAAAAAAATCAAAAATATCCAAAAACACCTCGTTTAAAAAATAAAATCAAAAGTACCTTTCGTATTACATATTTATTTTATCTGAATAATAGAATACTTACCTACTACTAAAGATCAGCTTTTATTTTATTTCTTAAACGCAACAAATAATGTGCAAAGTTAAACTTCAAAACAAAAATATCAAATTTCTTTATTTTTTTTTTTTTATAGAACCACCCGGTTTTTTCCATTTTAATGAATTCAGGAGTAAAAAATAAGGCAAGTTCATGTTTACTTCCCTATACCTAAACCTAATAGTTTTGAAGATACTATTAAAAAATGTTACATTTCTGCCACAGTACATCAAAATTTAACATTAATTGTCAAAGGTATTGGGAAGTAAACATGAACTTGCCTTATTTTTACACCTGAATTCATTAAAATAGAAAAAACCGAGTGGTTCTATTTAAAAAAATGAAGAATTTTGATATTTTTGAACTTTGCACAATTTTTATACACACCCTGTATTAAATAAAGAGTTTTTCAACATAGGTTTAAATACCTCTAACCTTGCTATTAGCCACCCAACAGAAACTGTTTTTATATCTTTAGGGGTATCCTCGTAAAGAAATAATTTATAAGGGACTGCATCGGTCAAATTTTTACAAAAAATTAATAACACAAGAAGTACTATGCATTTTTCGAAAAAGTTTTTAGACAAGTACCCTAAAATTTTACGTAGATTTTAAAAATATATTAATATAGAGGGGGTTCTATTGAAATTAACAAAGTTACAGTCGACTTCCGGTAGAACCAAAAGTCGGCTATTTTTAAAAATATCTTAGTTAAAAAGAGCGTAATCAAAAACCTAAATCTAGAAGTTTTCATTATTATACTATAAGTATTTTTCCATATACAGATAGTTTTAACTCGTCGTGGGACACCCTGTTAAATAATAAAGAAACTGTTGCAAAAAACAAAAATACATTGTAACCATCCTGTATCTTAGTAGTAGATAACATTTATATTTTAAAGGTCCTAAACCTATTATTAAAATATTCCTAATGAAACACCCTGAATATTAATTCTTTTTTCTTGTTTTTTTACGTGCGCAAAAACTACGCTAAAAACCCTACATTTCGGTTTTTTCTTTTTTATTGCAGTCCAAAAATTGACCAAGACAAAGGGAGGTAACATTATAATATTATGCCATAATCACTCTGCACATACCTAATAGGTATTTAATTTTTTTAATACACAAAAAAATCACAATTCAATGCTGAATATCATTATATACTAACCTCTACGTCTTCTTTAGATAGTAGTTCTGTTCTAAAACTACTTTGATTTATATAATTGTATTCATAACCCTCTGGAACTATAAAATTTTCCATTGTTTATAAGTTACACCGATGCTGACACAATAACGCAATAATGCAAATTGCAGACGTATTAAGATCCATCTATGTCTCCAGTTTACGCGCGTGCAGCTTCTACTTCGATCCTAGCCGAACATTTCCGAATCGTTTGGCTATACCTTGTGCGTCTGCAGTATACGCATATCCGTGCCGGTCGGAGTGGGGGGTGTTAGGTTTTTTTCGTTACGGTCGTTACGGTATTTCTTGATTCGGTCGCCGCACTCAAAGCCCGCGATAAAAGCTATGCAATAGCTTAAAAGTTGGGTACGGTTGCAGCTAAGGGGTTAAAGAAAAAAAAATTCATTTTATTGGGAACAAATACGTCCAATGTAAAATCAATTTAGTTGTTTCAGCGTTTTTTTTTAAGTTACTGGTTGAACAGATAATAATTTTATTCCCGACTTTCGCGCAACTCTGCATATTACAGAAAGATCCACTATACAAGATATCAATAAAATATGATGTTTTGCACACCAACGTATTATGTATTTAATGTAGGAATTATGTTTCTTATTGTCAATATAGATTTACTAATTGCGGTCCTGGAAAGAATGTTGCTTATCTCATTCATTTCGCCTTATTTTCTTTCCAATTTTTGGCATTTCTAACACACTTTCTTGCGTGTTTTTTATCTACAGGAGTACAAGAGACAGACCTCCATTTTATGAATTTTCACTAAACAGTTCTTATTATTTTGTTATATACCAAAAAACAGTAATTAACTATGCACGTGTTGTTCCAAACCTACTACGGCTACCATACTGTTATTGTTATTGGCTGAAAGTGACTTTGCTACTTTTGTTATATCAAATCTTGAGATTGCTGTTTCTGATACAAACTTACAACTTTGCTGAATGGTTTTAACGGCTTATTTCTCTTTTTGTTACAAAATAAGATCTGGTATTTTAATAAACTAAACATTCCAAACCGGTACGACAAAAAGCTTCAATCGGAAAATTTGGAGTTTGCTGCTTTTGATATTAGATCCCTGAATTAGGGTACTTTTGAATGGTGATATATAGGGTGAACCTAAGTTGATACTATTTTTAACTGTGTGTGGAAGACATTAAAATAAATATATTTTTCAAACTTTTAAGAACTCTGAGAAATAAGAAACACATTAATGCTTTCGAAAATTAATCCAACACGGTCCTGGATAACTTAAATAATGTGTTCAAAGTTGTCCATTCACCCCAACACAAACGCACTTCAAGTCTTCTCGTTTCGGCTCTACGTTGTATCCGCAAATAACCCGTATCCCTAGCCCGTTGAGTCAGAATTAATGAAAGTTCTGGGACTTTGATGCATGCACTTTGAAAACTCCATAAATAAACAGCATACAATTGTTTTCATATAAACACGGTATTGAAATCGCACACTCGATTGATTTACAATAACCGGTAAAGCTTCATTCAAACGAAAAACCTAAAAAAAGGTAAAACATAAAAACAACTTAATTTTTGATACACAAGTCCAGGCCTGGATTTAGATATAATAATTCTGTATCTTTCTTATTTTTAAGTTTAGTGAAAAAAGTTATTTGAAAAAGATGTTCATTTCAAGGGCGGCCATATCTCGAAAACTGTTTGTATGGACAATTTCGCAATTTTTGTTTTACAAATTCTTTAAAAGAAAATACTTAAAAATGTTTTTAACTTTATAACTTTCCGCTATGTTACATGATATACTATACCACATAATTGTGTTTTCATAAAAAAAATCTATATGATTTTAAACCAATTTTTCAAAAAACTAAACAATATTTTGAAGTGTGATGTGTTTCATTATTTTTCTGTATTGGATGTATGGGTTGTAACATGTAAATATGTTTAGTTTTTAAGAAAATCCCTAGGTAAGTCAATGCGATTATAAAATAGTTTAGATACCAAAAGTCAGTCATTTTTTGAGTACTTTAGAACGACTCCATTTCTTAAGAAGTCTTTACAATCCCTAGGCACACTTCCTTCTATGGACGAACGCCAGCTTTAATTAGTCTTAATAAGTTTGAACTTAGTTTCACCCTGTATATTGAAAAGTAATTGAGATAATGATATATTTGAGTTTTGACTCACCCTATACATATTTGTTGCGAATTAAAAAAAAGAAATACACCTGAATAAAATTTGACTAACATCAAAAAATTATTTTTGTAAAAAAATTGCTTGCAGTTGTTTTTGCATTATACAGATTATTGAAATCAATACGATTTTCTTATATAACTGGTAATATCAGCCGTACTCAACCGTTTTTCTTTCGGGCCACATAAATCTGTTCGGCCACAATGTTCTAAAAAATGTCCTCATATTGTTTTAGTTTACATACTTTCTAAAAAAAAAAGGTTCTTATGTTTTAGTTGTGTTGATGCTTTGAAAAGTCGCAAGGACAGGACTATAGGTCAACCATTTCAATTACTAATAATCGTTTGGGGTCACACAAAAAAGTTTGGAGGGCCACAAAAAAGCTTGGAGGGCCGCAGGTTGGGTATGGCTGAGTTATATCATAGTATCGGGTCGGTGGTGTAGCGGTCTAACGCGCTTATATTCATTTATAAGCAAGTTTATGTGTCGGAGACTGCTGGGCTTCGAATCCCAGACCAGACCATGTGGATTTTTAATTAAATTGCATGGTTCGGTATAGGATTCGATGTGTGCCGTATTAATAGAAATTCAATTTCTGTTGATATGACATGCAGATTATAAAAAAAAAATCGCCATACATTACTGTCTCGATGATGGTGGGTGAGGTTTTCCGGGTTTTCCTTACCTGTAAGTCAAATGGCACCATCAATCATCTTAAGTCGCCCCGGAGCGCCACGGCAAATAATAATAATAGCCGTCCCTTTCCCCGCACAAGCTCAACTTTTCGGGTTAAAATTCACTCGTAAGGGGGTGAATTAGGGAGATTATTATTATTATATTATCAGGTTTTGTTATAGTGCAAAAAGCGAGGGTAATTCAAAAATAAAAAAGATAGGGTAATCCGTTTAAAAAAAGTTTGTTTCAGGCTGAAGTTATCGAAAATAATTTTAAAATATGCAGCTGTTTACCGTTCTGTAAATATTTTTTTATATCACTAGGGGTCTATTCTGTAACGTTTTAATTAATTTTAATGACCCGGTTAGTTATTTATAATATGACGTTTAAATTTTAACACAAATCTCTATTTGATAATCCTTTAATTTAATTTTTTTTATAACAAATCCCAGTTAAAATAGACATACCTAAAAGTGAATTGAAATTAAGCCCAACGCAGCATTAAAAATAAGAAAAAGAATATATATTTGACATGTAATGATTAGTAGATTTATTGACTGATATAAGTTATAATTTTAACCAAATAGTACAGAATACAAAATTAAAAATGACTTCTGGTTATTTTTATAACCCAGGGTTAATTTTAACCAAATTTTTACAGAATAGACCCCTAATAGTGCCGGGGATATTGGACTTATCACTTTGAAGAGGAAATTAATGGTTTTATTTTTTTTAGAACACAAATGATGCTTCCAACCCTGTGCAAGAAAAATTAATTGTAAATGGGACTGCTGAGGTATCTGAAGAAGCAAGTTAAACATTTAATTTGTATATAATGAAAAGCCAGATTTTGTTGAAGCACATTTTCAGATTAATCAGTATGGTGTAAATACTTTTCTTTTATTTTTTTTTGTCATGACGTATTGTGCTAATTATATTTTTATTAATTACATAAGTAAACCATTTTCTTTGTTTCCATTCTCCTTTCCACAATAGTACCTAGACAACCAATTCCCGTACAGGCTCGTATGATTAAGAGATATTTTCCAGTAAACTGACCCCGCATAGGAATAATTGCTGGATGATTTTAATAATCTGAATATTCTTCCACTTTCTACAGGCCTTACTTCGCTGACTTAATTTCTCAACATCCAAGGTTCAATAGCCCCTTCGAGACCTCAGCAATAAGTAAAGTCCTTAATTAATCACCCACCGTCGATCACGAGGTAACGTTACCCCCTTATCCGTCACCCTATCAACTAGTAAACCGCACAACTTTTGAAATAGGTGAATTTTAATCAAGCTGATTTTTTCCACTATCGCTAGGAAAATAAATATTTAAATAGTGATACCGAGTGAAATATTCGGGATGTTAGAATGACATGTGCAAAATTATTTACTTATTAACCGACTTTAAAAAAGTAGGAGGTTCTCAATTCGTCGTAATTTTTTGTTCAGCAATAATTCTTTAACACTGTGTCCGATTTTAATAATTTTTTAGAAAGGGGGTACTCCAGGGGTGGTCCCATATTAATTTGGTCAACATCTAATAATTGGGTCCATTAGAAAATCCACAAACTCTTCATTTTTTATGTATGTTTAGCAGCAATTCTTTACCACCTTGTTCAATTTCTAGGATTCTTTTTTTGTTAGTAATAGGGTACTTCAGGGGTGGTTCCATATAAATTTGGTCAAAATCTAATATTTGAGTGCACGAGAAAAATCCTCAAACTCTTCATTTTTTATATTAGCGATAATTCTTTACCACCTTGTCCGATTTATATGATTCTTTTTTTGTTAGTAAGGAGATGCCTCAGGGATGGTCCCATATAAATTTGATTAAGATGTGACGGCATCTGCACGATTTTAAAGTCTGTTTTTTAAAATTACTTTTAATACTTGTTTAAATTGCAATGCACTTTCAGCATAACGCCATCATCAGTGCTCTTAGTCGCAATAGATTATCTAAAAAGTTTAGCAATCATCTTCATAAATAAATTAATCTGGAGCATCCCACCTTGCTAAATTTTCTTATTTTTAGTGTTATTGTGAAAATTTAAATCTATAGTATATTTGATTAAAAAATTCAATTTATTTATTTCTCTGTATTCTCCATATTTAGGCGGTTGAAGTGACACCGGTGACTGGGTATTACCAGATGTTTCAACTAATTATCGATCCAACGTCATCGTATTTGCAATTCTTACACGGCCAACCTGACCATTAATTCCTTCTCGAATTAATTCAGAAACCATTTCAGTGTTTTCCTGTAACAAAAAGAAGAACGGAAACGAAACATCTTCGAAATTTTATTTTTTATCATGTTGTAGGTACTACATGTGTGGACATAATGTGATGGTCACATTTGTCTTTTTTAGTTTTTTGCACACATTCAGAACCAGCTGGGGTAATTATTAAGAGAGTTCCGATGATAAATAAGCACTCGTGGACAATAAATCTATTCGGTGCTAAAGCAAAAAAACAAATTTAAGACGGTGGGCGTAGCGGTGTTTGTATTCTTTATCATCTCGATGTGGCTTTCCACAAAATAACACTATGGCGTTATAATAACGTAGCTTTTCAACAAATCATGTTTGTAAAGCATAAGCAAAGCGCATCGTTATTTCTATCATGTAGATTTTTTTTACTCAGAGACTTTCAACAAATTACCATTTCAATGCGCATCGTTGTTTTTATCAAATCGCAGTTTTTTTATTAGTAGGGGCTTTCAACAAATTACTATTGCAAAGCGTTATCGCAGCATATTGTAGAAATTGTTTTAGAATCGGTAGATAATAATAAAATGAATGAAATTACATTTGATTAATCATTTACAATTGCTCTTACTTTTGCAATAAATAAACAATTTTGTAACATTGTATTAACTTTAAATATCGGAGAATTCAGCGGTTCAAATTCTAATCATGTCTTTAGTGACTGTGCCTTTTTCTGTTTGTAGATAGGTTTTTTTTAACGTAAACCTTTCATTTGGCAATAGTTTTATTATCTCAAATGGTCATTCGTATTTATTATAAAGTTTTGCCAAATGGCCATTCTCCGATGAGTGAAATACTATATCGGCAATTTGTTTTTTGTTAAATACATTTTTCTGATAATCAGCCTGCTTTCTAATACGCTCGTATTCTTCGTTTTCAATTATTTTTGTTTTAGGAACGCTGATACTTGAAATAGATTCACGTTTTAATATTAGGGCCACAGTTTATAGCTAAAGAATCAGTTCGCTCACTCTGCGTCGGCACTTTTGATCTCAATGTTCCAGTTTATACACTGCGCAACTCGGATTTGTATCCCTGGCGCATACAGAATTAAATCATAACCAATACAATATATGACGACCGCCTATATTCAAACAGCAGTCTTCTGCGCATCCTGAATTTGTATCCCTGGGGTGGATATTATTTTGGGACATTCAACTGGTCCAAGTGAGCTAACTGATGCCAAAGAAGGCAGCAAAGCACCTCGGGAATTTTGAGTAGAAACATATGCCACATTTTTAGGCTATTTTAAGGCTATTTTTATACCTTATTCAAAAATGTTATGCTCTTCATTTTTTTGCAAAAATCAAGGTGCTCTGCTAGCTTCGAACGAAGTCAGCAGAGCACCTCGGTTTTTTAAAGCTTCTTTCTAAAAATAACTACACCACATTTTTAGGCTCTTGAAATATTATAAAACTTTACTAAAAAATTGCTATTTTTAAATAATACAGGGTGCTTTGTTGGAGCAAAGTCAGCAGAGCACCTCGGTTTATTATTATTTTTTTCAGAAAACTAATGCTACATTTTTAAGCTATTTTTAGGCTCTTAAAACAATATATAACTTTTCAAAAAAAAATGTATTTTTTAAAGAAGACTCACATTTGAAGTTTTAATTTGATGATGTGGAACTAAGCGAATTTTACAGAACATACTTTCCCAAAGTGCCCTCACCTGAAATTTTTCGCACGGAAAATAATTTGCACATTTAGAAGCATGTATAAATGTGAGCAGCTTTTTTCAGTCTTGAAAATTAATAAAAATAAGCATCGTACTCGGCATACAGCTGTTAATTTAGAAAGCACTTTGCGCTTATTTACTAGTGATATTGACCCCAAGATTAATCATCTTATTTCTCAGCTCCAAACTTAAGTCACTCATTACTTTTCGTTTGATTTTTCCATCTTTTTTTATTAACTTGCTTTTTATATGTTTGATTGAGCATAATCATTATGCTATTATAATTAATAAATAAAAAAATGTGTGAATTTTTGTAGCTTTTTTATTCATTACCTGCTTATTTCTTGCCTATGGGCCGCGACCTAATTAAGTCCCGAAATTACGCCCTCAGCTAAGCAAAGGTTGCCCATATATCTAATCTAAATCAATAAAGACACTTTTTCAAAATTTGATTATTTTTTTTTTAAATTCAAAACTCTACTTTTTTTAAACATTTTCTCAATTTTTTTTAGAAAAAACTAAATTGAATTTTAAAAAAGTGGTTCCAGAGGAGCACAGATTTAACCTTTATCTACACGTACATATTTTTTTCTTTTAGAAATAGTCAAAAATAAACTATAAAAGTGGGGTACTACGAAACCCTTACATTGCAAGATTTTTCGTCAGAAAAGTGGCGCCTCTGTTAGATTTTTGAGAAATTAATATTTGTGAATGAAAACAATTTATAAATATTTTACTGATGTTTTACGAGGGATAAATAATTTTACGTATTTAGTAGTACACCAATTTTACAAATTATTTTTACTGCAAGAAAAATTATGTAAGTATAGGTAAAGACTGAACTCGTACTCACCTTTTGAAAATTTGAATCAGTTTCTTTGGAAAAAATTCTAAAAATATTTCTTTCAATCGAAAAGTAATAAAAATGTTAAAATGTGCTAGAACAATATAAATATTTAATTTTTGCCTACTGGAACATTTATTTTCCTTACAATACAAATGGAAAAAATACTTTAAAAGCTTTTTCGTCTAGAGGCGGTGATACCAACCGGCGGGCGTAATTTCGGCCGGTAATCCCCTCGCCTACCTGCCAAAAGCAAAGTGCCCATCTAATGGAATAGGTAATTTCGGCCGAGGGTAATGTTTATGATAGGATTTTGAAATATACCTGAAAATAATAATCTACCCTTTTCATATTTCCATTTCTTAGAAAAGTTAAAACATTTACATTCATCTTTCTTAATTTGATTTTCATTAGTTTAACAATGTGATTACCTAATTACAAAATAATAATCTACCCTTTTCATATTTCTATTTCTTAGAAAAGTTAAAACATTTACATTCATCTTTCTTAATTTGATTTTCATTAGTTTAACAATGCGATTACCTAATTACAAAGTACCGGACCTTTTAATATTAAGATACTAAACACTTATTTTGTGGGCGACCAAGAGATAGAAAACATCTATATTACATGATGGCAGTTTCGATAGTAAAGAGTTCACGCATAGTTCACGCGGTTGTGACTTGCTTATTGTAGAAAAATTTTCATTTTGTAAACAAGACGTATTAAAGAGTGGGGAAGTGCGTTGGAGGTGCATCAGGAAAAATTTAAAATGTTTAGCTAAATTGTATACTGTTGGTGCCGAATATATTGTGACCAGGAGTGAGTTAACTCACAATCATGAACCAGATCAACGTTCTTTGCAGAGAAAAATTGTCACAAATGCATGCAAGCGAAAAGCCCAGGAGGACATTTTGGAGAAACCTTCGAAAATTATAAAAAGGGTCCTTTCAACAAATTTACTGGACCAATTGATTACCGCGGATGTAAATCTCAAGAAGAAATGTGTATAACAGTCGTCGTCAGCTCTTGCCAGCCCTGCCTAAAGATATTCATGAAGTACATACTGTAGTTGATATGTATATATTCTCCTAAAACGACAACAGGTGAAAATTTTTTGTTTAATAACAGTTCAGTTGATAATATCATTGTTTTTTCTTGCCAAACA